TCAATCGTTTGACTATTAGCAACTTACTTTAGATAATATCCTCCACAAGGTAATTTATTCTACTTTTACTTTTATTTCAACAATAGATGCATAAAAATTTGCCATGGATGCAATATTGTTACAAATAAGAGTATATAACAAACTTCATCTTTTAATTTTTTATTCAAGATAATTTCAAAAATTAAGATCAATTATGTAATTTATGACAAAGAGCTTCTTGTACTTGCCAAGTCTTTTTAAAAATAGAACCATTATTTTAAAATATGATTTTTATCCAGTAATTATTTATATATATCATAATAATTTATATTAATATACATGTTGAATTGTCACTAAGCATGTTAGAGCATGTTATTGTTGAAGTTTGAATTTAATGTTACTTATTAATCAAGAAAATAATATGATTTATCAAATATCTTTTTTTAATAATTTTATCTTGTACCAAAAGAAAAACATATAGATTTTTTTAATAAAGAACTATTTTTACGAACTTAGAGAAATTTTAACTTTAAATAATAAAATCAATGTTCCTTATTAATTCAACTTTTTTTATTAAGTTTAATCAAGTATGTCATCAAATCTTTTTATTCATAATACAAAAAATAATTCTTCTAAATTTCAAAATATTTCTAAGTTTTAATTCAAAAAAAATCTACTTCATTTTAAAATTTTCTTAAATGTTCTAAAAAGTAAATTATAATTTCAAGCATTTTAAGCTTATCATAATTTTCCAGCTATATGATACTTTAGACGAATCAAGACAATAGAATCAATCTTAAGAGATTTCTTATAATTTCAAATATAAAAAGAAATTAATAAATTTTTACAACCATGTGATATTTGTTTAATATCAAAAATTCCTTATCATCAACTTCACAAATTTGTTTCAGCCACTACCTATATCAAAACAACCATAATCTTTTATTTTATGAATTTTATCACAAATCTTTTAATTTCGAATTTTTATAACTCTATTTTAGAGATAGTGGATCATTTCATTAAAATGATATATTTTATACTAAAATTCCACTAAAATTCCAGTAAGTTTTTTTTTGATAATTTTTATTATTATTATAGATTATCAAGAGATATTATATTTAATAGAAAGACTCAATTTGTATTAAGGTTTTTTTTAAAATTATTCAAGATATTGAAAGTAGACATAAAATTATTTTTAATTTTCCATTCTCAAATTGATACACGAAAAAATAGTGTAAATCAAACATTGGAGCAATATTTGAGATGTACCATCAACTAATATTAAAATGATTGAATAATATTTTTATTATTATTAGAATTTTAAAATAATATGATAAACTCTTCTATTAAATAATTAATACTAAATATTAATTATGGTTATCATCCATAATTTGATACTTTTGATTTTTTTTTAAATTTAATTAATAAGTAATAAAAGATTTAAAAAATTATTTATTAAAACTACATGCAAAAATAATTGCACAATTAAATAAAGATCTAGAATAACAAAAAATCAATATAGATGCTTGTTGCAAGGAACAACCTCAATTATGTAGTGGCAAGAACGTATGGTTACTTTATTGTATTATTAAGACTATTTGTCCTTCTAACAAGTTGAATTACAATAGATTTAGACCATTTTCATTTCATGAACAAATCATTCTAATTTTATATTGATTACATCTATCAAAATTTATAAAAATCTATTTTATGTTTCATGTATGTTTTCTTGAATCATAAATATATATATATATATATATATATATATATATATCAAAAAGAATACAAATATCACTTCATTCTATAAAAATAAACAACAATTAAAAAAATTGAGATAAAAGATGACTTAGATTAAAAATAGTACCAAAATAGATTGAAATATCTTATATATTGATACGGATATGATATTAATAAACAAACATCAAAGCTATCCATAAATCTTACAAATATGGTAAAATAATTCAATGCTTTTCATTAACAAATACATCAAAATAGTTCAATTAAGGAAATATTTGCTATAAAATAAAGCAATTTCAATGAAGATTGTATTGTAATATCTTTTATCTTTATTTGTAGTTTATTTATATTTATAATGCTAGAAAAATAGAAAATCAACAACTAATAGATTTAATTTATGAACTATTATTTTTGAAGTTATTAAATAAGGCATTAAGATTGTCACAACTTTCAAGACAACATAATAGAAATGAAGTTCCTTAAGAATAATATATTCTTCCTTGAATAGATGGTAAGAGATAATGCACTTAATATTATAATATTAGAAGAAACTTCCAATGTTTCATGATATTATTGGAAGTAAAAACCAGTCTTGTTGATATTTTATATGTTTCTTTTTAATGCAATTATAAGGACCTTAGCAATGATCCAATAACAAGGTAATCTTCTTGTCCTAATATGAGATACTATTGATGGTTGAGTGGACCAATCAACTAATTTTAAAAAAAAACAAATATCATAGTATGTAGCAAGTAGAATTTGCTATATTTTAGACTTCCTCAACATGTATACCACTTTTTATAAAAGTTGTCTCTAAAAAAGGAGAAAAATGTCACAAAAATTTATAACTACTAAGATAAAGAAAGTTAGATTGAAATAAATAAAAATAAATAAATTACATAATATCTTATAAAAATTTTCATAGACTCAAATTTGACTTTATATATGTCTATAGGTGATTAATTGTTTAAAAATTTGACCAAAAAGTTGACCACGGATTAATATTAATTGGCCAATAAATTAGCCACTTATGCTATTAATTGGCTCTATGGCACACATATAAAAAACTTACTTTACAAGTTAAACATGTGTCTTATAAGTTAAATATATGTTAAAGATCCTATAGAAAGTCACTACATAGCTTCTAATTAGACAGTGTATATAGAAATAAGAGTGAGACCTTCCTCATTCTTATCAATTTCTTTCTTGCTTCTAGTTTAATTTCAAGAGTCTCTAATTTTCTAGTCTTTAGCAATAGTCATTCCAATTTTTTTAGAATATACATACTTTCTTTGTTATTCTTTGTCATCTCTATTTGAAAGATATTATACTACTTAATTTTCATTCTTTGAGTTCTTGTCTTCAAAAACATATGTATTTTAAGCACTACATAACTTTTGAATAATATAACTTTTTTATTTGTAAAAAATTATGAAATATATTTTAAGATATATTTAATGGTTTTAAATAAGAAAAGATATTCAATTATTTTTTAACATTAGAACTCTTGTTAATAAGAAAAAATTCTATATCCTTGATTTTATAGACTTCTTTAATCTCTATTATTGTAAGAACAACAATTATATTTTATTTCAATGATTTTAGTAATAAATTTATTAATCTTAAATTTTTATGATTTTATTTTTATGATTATCTGTTGTTACATCAAAATGATTCATTTTGTATCTTATACAAAAAAAATTGTCATTAAGACACAAATTTTTTTAATACAATATTTATTAATAATATAAATTTTTAAGCAACATTATATTTCATGTAGGATTCAATTTTGTTGAAACTTCTATCCATTAATTGAAACTTGTATATATTATCTTAATTCTTATTAGCATAGACTCTTTACATGCTTTAGATTCAAATCAAACATCTTATTAATTAAACAAAAAGTTAGAAAGTAACACATATAGCCATTTTATTCTTTCAGTCTTATAAGAATTATGAATTGGTCTAGATAATTATTGATATAGTTTAACAATGTAATTCCTAAAATCCAACTTTGATATCTACTAATATGTTTTTGAGCTAATACATAATTTGTATCCTTCCTTAAAAATTATTTATTCATACTTTTATTAAAAAATTTAACACTTTAAATTTTTTTTTCTACTACTTTAGATTTTAATACAATTCAAATTTTCTTATTAAAGCCTTTAATAATGTATATAATTTCATAATGATTTAAAAATTAATACTAGAATTTATAACTTTTTCTTTTTAAGATAAGATTGGATTATATATATATACATATATATATATATATATATATATATATATATATATTATTTTTCTATCTAATGTAATTTTAATTTGATATAATTTATATATTTTTTAATCTAATCTTTAATTGTAAAAGAATAAACTCCTTCTAATTTGATATGCTAGATCCATAATATAATATTATATATATATATATACATAATTTATATTTTTGGGTTATTTTAAATTTCATAATTTTATCTTTCTATCATTTGAATCAAATATCACTATTATTAAAACTATCATTTGGTTAAAATAAACCATTTCTATATAACTAAATAATTCTTTTTAAGACTTTTATCTTGAACATCACAAGCAAGCTCTGGATTTTTTTAATTTATATATATATATATATATATATATATGCATATCTGTTTGAAATTTTCCTATCTAATTTAGTTGATAATCAATCTATATCTTAAAATTTGGTAAACATTTGATTCTTTGGCATGCAATACGAAAATTACCTACACAAATAGTTGAGTTTTTAGATTCTCTTTGGGATCACTAACATTTAATGTATCTTTCTCTATAGCTTTGTAATATGCTTACTATGCAATTTTGGATCCAATTAAAAACATGCACACTGCCTTATAAAAATAAAAATAAAAATTTCGACCATTCTTTTAATTTTACAAATTGCATCCAAAATATATTCACAACCTATTTTAACCACATCAAATATGAGGTAACTATCTATGCATACTGATCACATCCACCAAACAAACATACTCCTGCATTGCCTAATAAACAATATATGTAATGTGAGAAATCCCATCCTTTTATCATTAAACCCTCCTCTGAAATATCCCCTTCTGAACACTACTTTGTGCTTTTTAAAACTTTGGCCTTTATTATCCACGAATCCTCCCCCTCATCGCGCTCTCTGTAGGGAGCGAGTTCGTTCGGATGAGGGGAACGGGGAGGGGTGGGAAAGCCCCGTTCACACCGCAAAGATGGAGGGGAGGTGCTGGGGTAAGAGATTGAGCCAGCTGGGCCTTATCCAGATGCGTCGAGGGGCTTTCTCCGCTGCAGATATCTGCTCCGCAGCTCCTCTTTACGAAGCTCTCTCTCTCGCTAGGGTTTTGGGGTTTGTGTTGCGCCTCTCTGCCTTTGTTCCGCCTCCCTCCTCGCCAAATTCCGCACCTCTTCCCGTTGCTGTCGCGCCTCCCCAACCATGTCGGTCGCCAGCATGACCATGGCCGTTTCTACTCCGCGCTTCGTCGCCGCTGTGGCCCGCGCTGAGACCAATTCGAGTCGCCATGGCTCGTTTTTGAGCATGGCAGCCCCTGTCTCGGGCTCATCTTTGAGCTGCGCGTTCTCTGCTTTCTCACTTGTGACCAAGCGCAGTGGCTTGATTGGCGGGATTGTCGCCAGGGCATCTGACTTGGACAAGGAATTGGACAAGCAGTTGTATGGAAGTGTCACGGATGATATCATGGGAGGCGCGGTTGACAATGACAGCGGGTTTAGTAACGACGGCATTGCGGTGTCTGGGGTGGATTCTGTTGCCGACGGTGGCAGTAGCGACGTTGCAGCCCCTGTTGCGGAGGAGGAGCAATTTGAAACGAAGCTGTACGTGGGGAACTTACCCTGGACGTGCGACAGCGCCCAGCTTGCTGAGATTTGCAGTGACCACGGTACTGTGGATGTTGTGGAAGTCATTTATGACAAAATTTCTGGGAGGAGCCGAGGATTTGCGTTTGTGACTATGGCGACTCCTGAGGATGCCCAGGCTGTGATCAACGCGCTTGACGGAACGGACATGGGGGGGAGACCCTTGAAGGTGAACTACCCCCAGTCGCAGAAGGACAAGCCTCGCGTGGAGCGGTCGGAAAGGCCCAGGGATGATGCTAATAAGTTGTTTGTTGGCAACCTTTCATGGGGATGTGATGAAGCTGCTTTGTACTCGTTTTTCTCAGAATACGGAACTGTGGTGGATGCCAAGGTTGTGTTTGACAGGGATTCTGGAAGGTCCCGTGGGTTCGGTTTCGTGACGATGGAAAGTGCGGCTGCGGCTAATGCTGCTATTGAGAACCTGGACGGCGCGGAACTCGATGGGAGGCGGTTGAGAGTGAACTTGGCTGGAGAGAAGCCCCCAACCAGGTATTGAGAATAAATTTATATCAATATCCATAAGTCTTTGAATCTTACTGAGGTTTGCTTTGTTGACTTTTTTAGGACATTGTTGTACTTATTAAGTGTGTGATTTGTTGGTCTCTTAATCTACGAAGATTGTATTTGCGAGGATGCATGCAAGGAAATGTACTAGACAATAAAGTTTGCTATGTTCGTCGTCTTATTCGTTCATGTTTATATGGTTAGTGAAGTTTGTGAATACCCGAACCGTCTTGGACGAATTCCATTCAATTAGGGATACTACAGTGGTGACTGGCTGGATAATGCATTACTTCGCTCTATCATGTTGATTTTCTGTATTGTAGCTGCTTCTCATGTGTACCGCTTATTACATGATTCTTTTTGTTACTCTTGAACTTGCAATTATGTTTGCTTTTTATTAATTGACTCTTGGATTTCTACCAGAGAGTATGAACCATCATCACCCAGATCAGACAGGTCCGGGAGCAGGGACCGCAGACAGAGGGATGGTCCTAACAAGCTGTTCGTTGGCAACCTGTCCTGGAGGTGCGACGAGGAGGCTCTTGAGACTCTATTTTCGGATTACGGAAGAGTTCTGGAAGCTAGAATTGCGACTGAAAGGGACTCTGGTAGGTCACGTGGATTTGGGTTCGTGACTTTGTCCAGTGAGACTGAGGTTAACGCTGCCATTGAGAGCCTCGACGGCGCCGATTATGACGGTAGGGAATTGAGAGTGAACTTGGCTGGAGACAAGCCCCCACCCAGATACTGAGTTCAGCGGATTTTGAGAGGCAGTTGCACATGCTCTTGTAGCAACGTCTAGCAGAATCAATTCTTTATGTGTAGGAATCAAAGTAGGATTAGTTGACTGGGTTGTATGGATTAGATTAGTAACTTGAGAACAAAATAGTTTGCAGGCTTTTTGCGGTTGGAGCCAGCAGAAATCTCGCACTTCTGAATGCCGGGTGAATGCACACAAGCGCAGTGTTTAACTTTTTGATATAATCTGACAATTTTGTCTCTTCCACATGTTTTAACTCAGAATTATTTTCGAACTTCAAATGTGTTCTACAATTGCCCTAGACTTATCCGTTGAAGTGCCAAAAGTGAATATGAGATGAACGGCTCTTCCTTTCCACTCGAGGACCAATGTTAAGCATTGAAGCAAGCTGGGGTGGCTGCCATGAATGTCTTTTATGAAGCACAGCACTGGTGATCTTTTTCACATGTGTTCGTTTCATTCAAAGTAGGAAGTGAGAAACAATGCTGTGAGTGGGTAACAGAGCTGCGATGAAGCTAGTAGCATTGCTTTAAATCATAGTATGCAAAGAGTGACATGAGTAACAAATATTATGTATTGAAGGAAAATAAATACATGAGAAAATAAAATAAAAAAAAAGACTGCAGGAGACTATTTTGCAGAGGAAGATATGATAATTCTTTTTAATAATCCTTTGTTTCATTTTGGCTGGAAAGAATCTATGTACAATCACTTTATCTTCCTTTTTTTTTTTTTTTTTTTATCTTTCTTGTTATCACGGTGTAGACTAGGTTGGAATCTTGAATTCTTGATCTATTCTGGGTACCTGAAGTGTATTTACGCCTGTCTTAGTAAGATTGATTCATATTTGTTTAAGGTTGAGGTTGGAAACTTGCTGAAGAAAATGGAAATTTCATCATTGAACAACCTGTAAAGTTTTAACTTAATCAACAATTACAAGTTTTTTTTTTTGCTTGATGGAGGCAAAAAAAATAATTAGATGTAATGCGTGAGTAGAGAAGATATTACTTATTTGTATGTAAATATCACAATGAGTCATAATTAAAAAGAGTTGTCCAAATTTTTGATTAATTAGTTTATTGTGGTGTAGTGAGTCTAATAGAAACAAACATCAACCTTTTAAAGACATTAATTGAAATTATGATGGACAACTAGAGAGTTATTATCTCATTGATATTAAGGCGTTTGTAAAGTTTCAGCTCAATCTATATTGCTGAATTTTCTTTTTTTAATAAATACATATACTTGCAATGGAAGATGAATATGGAAGACAATGGAATTTTTAGGATCAAAACTCATTGTTACCATTCTAAAAGGGTTCAACTTGTACCCAAAAACTCAAGAAATTACATTATGCAATGATTAGAAACCACAATTTTCATGCTCCACATTTTATAAAAGTTAAAAAATAAATGAATTACAATTTTTTATTGGAGATAACTATTTTCATTGTATTTATCTTATTATCAATTGTAATTTTGTTGACACGATAGATTTTATCAACAATATAATGTTTTGTCACTTAAAAAGCCACATGAGACAGTTCAAAGATCTATTACAATGTAAAAAGAAATTCGTCAACATAATAATCATACTAGATACAGCTCTATATCACCTAAGCATATTACCCCTAAACTTCAAAACTCAATATATTTTGAAGTTACAAAAGTTGATTTAAGTTCAAAACAAGTACAAATATGATGTGTTAAATTTCATCAGAAAATTTGCCTACAAAGCTTTGTATGCACAACAAAAAATTCATCAAGGGAAAATCAAATAAATCAATATAAAAAATATAAAAAATATAAATCCTCTAACATACGGTTACATTTTTGCACAATCAACACTAATTAATTTTGCAAACAAACAAACTTCGCACAACAATTTCAGACCACGGTGAGAAGACGTCCTGATCCCACGGCTACCGGTACACATTCATTCAAAACCGTGGAAGGAAAAACGAGAATGGTGAGCGACTATAGGTGAATGATCTTCAATACCGTGCGCAGACCCCTCGACCGTGTTCCACGGTATTAGGAGCGCATGTTTGATACCGTGGGGGAGAAAGACAGTGGATCAGTGGACGTCGAGGTCCTCGTCGCAAACCCTTTCGAAGCACGAAAGCACCGACGGGAAGCACCCACGCCGAGTGCCGAGGCCGAGACCAGCATCGAGATCGAGACGGAGCCAGAGCGTCACCAAATCGTACCTTCAACAACACTCTCTGCACGTAACAAGCAAGCAAGCGAGCTGAATTTTGTGCTCGAACCGACACCGCTCACCGCGTAGCGTCGTCGTTGTCGTCGTTCGATCATGTAGATACCGCAAGTTGTTCACTATTGCGAATTGGGCACTCTACTCCAGCGATTGAGCTCACATGGCCCCTGTTAAACTTCCCTTTGCCGATACCGACTTGGCTCCACTTGTCAAACGGTATGCCATTCTTCTTGTTTCCGGGCTTTCATGCGATTCTGCAGCAAGTTTCATGGGGTTTTGTGACCATGGATGTGGCTTGTAGAATTGTTGTTGTTGAGAATGTTGAGATATTTTTTTGGAGGGTTTTGAGGATTTTTTTTTTTTTTTTTTTTTTTTTTTTTTGCGTAGAGGATTTTGGGGTTTAGGAAATTTGATAATTAGGAGCATTTTTTATTTTTTATTTTTATTTTTGTCATTTTGTTTGTTTGTTTGTGTGTTTGTGTATTTTTCTTTTTAGGTGTTGTCACGGATTTTAGATTTTTGGGATTCTTCTGAAGAGAGTAAGGATGTTTGTGAGGTGGGGGTTTTTCTTTTCTCTTTTTCTTTTTCCTGTTTTCTCTTCAAGAGATTTGAGTGAAGATGTTTGGCGAGGGCAGGTACTCGGCGAGTACGATTGTGACAATGCTGCGGGAGATTGCAAGATGCAAGTCGCCGAAGCTGGACTGGGTGATGCTGTGCAAGAGCACGGTCACGGGCATTACGAACCCGAAGGAGTACCAGGCCGTGTGGCGAAGCCTTGCCTATCGGGCGGAGCTGGAGGATTCTTTTGAAGACAACGAGGCACCGTTGGTATGGCGTTTTATGGCTAATTTTCTTTGTTTTATCTGTTGTTTTCAAATTTACCCCAACAGCCTCAGTAAGTGCCTAGATTTTTGGGGTGTTTCAGTACCCTAGAGGAACTACTCTTCTGATTTTTTGCCAGCGTAGTTTTCTTAGTAGGATTTTTATTGCTTTGAATCTTTGAAATAAGTTTTCTTGAATGAAGGGGGCTCGTCATTTTAAGTACAAGGGCTGTCCTGCAGGAAAACCCTTAAAGTTTAAAGACAGGCAAGACTTCGTGCTTCATTGGAGGTTACCGTTCAATATTTTGTTGAGGGCCTACTAAGTGTCTCAACAGCCGTAGCATCCACAGCAGTTTGTCTTCTCTGTCGGCACTTCATTCTATTGAGCAGAATGACGATCTGTATCGACATCAGTAGACGGTTTGGAAAATGGTTTTAAGATCCTGTCACATGTTTCGATATTCTGTTCTCACTCTTAGGATTTGTTCATTTCAGGACGATGATAGTGACCTTGATGTTGAGTTGGATCCTGTTCCCACTGTCAGCGCTGCCGTGGCAGAAAGCATATCCAGTTTTGTGAAGGTACGCTGCAATTGTGGCGATAAATTATTTATTTGACCCACTTGTTTTTCTCTCAAGGTTGTAACAGCCTGCATTTATCCTCCTTCTTTCCTTACTTAAGGATGAGAAAGGCTGACATCTTGCACTTTTCTTGAGATGCAGACAGACTTGCAACAGCATGAGCATGATGAATTAATGGAACACAATGCTGGTCAGGCAGGTGTGGGGCATCAAGCTGCAGACAATGCGGTTGTCAATAAACAGCAGGTATCGCAAATCTCCATTCTCTTTTCAATATATTGCACTTCGTATGGAGTCGGCATTCTTCTCACATCAGGTTAATTCAACGAGTAGAATGTCATCACCCTTGAACCAGACATTGCTGTAGAAAGCTATTTTAATTGGTTCTTGAGTTCTGTGTCCGCTTCCCAAGTTTGGAAGACATGGAAATATTCTACCCTGCTGCCTGTGATGCTTTCTGTTCAGTCCTTGTAGTCTTTTATTTTTAAGCCTCGTTTCCACGTATTCTCGCTGCCCTTTGTGACTCGGAGCCTTCGAAATCAATCCTTGAGACATGTGTACTGATTTGCTTTCTACCCAATAATACCAACTCGGACAGGGATCAGGTCTGTTGGTCAAACCAGATGAGTCAGCCGAATTGGTTCCCATTCCTAATACAGCAGGAGTGCCATACTTAGCAAGTGCAACACAGTGTGCAGCTACGCATGGGGAATCGGCTGCAATCCTCTCCTGCTCTACGAGCACTAAGGCTGCTTATCCGGCTGCAGTCATGAACCAATCTGATGCTCGGAAGAGGCGAAGACTCTGGACTCCCGAAGAAGACTTGGCACTCATAGCAGCTGTGGACAAGTACGGTGAGGGCAACTGGACAACTGTTCTGAAGAACCATTATGACTTTGATCGCAGTGCCTCCCAACTATCACAGGCACTACCCCACTCTCAACTCCTCTGGTGGTTGATGTTGCTGTCAAAATAACCTCTTTGCTAAGTAAATGCTCTTGCTATCTAACTAAACATAGCGTTATATCTCTGAATTATGTCCAAGCTGTTTCTATGTTTCGCGATTCTTTACAAAACTGATGGAAAGTGGGTGACATTTGTGCTACGTTATCATTTCATGGTTGGTTATTGCCAGTTTGTCTTGTAGACGTTGTCCTACAGTGGCTCATTTCTGTCGCCGGTCCTGTTTTTGGCTGCTATCATTCTGATGACATTTCCTCGAGCAACGATTTTTTTTTTTTTTTTTTTTTTTTTTTTTTTTGGTTGAAGTTGGGGGTCTTGTTTACAATATTGACCATCTAGCTCGTCTTGCAGAGATGGGCTCTGATCAGAAAGAGGAGAGAAGTTCAAGAAAAAGCAGGGTATGGAGGCTCTGGAGTGAGTCTCTTAGCATCCGGTTACAACAATATAGAGCGTCTGGATGGTCCCAAACCTGGTACATTAGCAGGGCCTGGCATGCAAAAGGATACTGGAAGACCGGGTGACAAAGCTATGCCTTTTGGGAATGCTCCTACGCCAATGAAGCAACCACCTTCCTCTGCTTCTACCGTTCCAGTTGGCAAGAGAAATCCTGGAGCCACAACTCCCAGTGGCACTGAGACCACTGCTTCTGTCCTTGAAACACAAAGAGCGCGAGCTCTGCCTGCACCAGGTGTTTCAACCAGCCGGGCTGGTGTTCCTGCTCAGCGGCCGCAAGCACATAACCAGACATCTATGCGTGGTGGTGCGACAGCTGGAGCCTCTACCGCCTTACAAACCCTTAAGGGAGCAGTCCACGAGGGTTCAGCTGGTGGATCACACACTCATGCCTCAGCTGTATGGAGACCAGGTCAAGGCTCTGCTGTTGGCAATCAAATGTTCTACACGAGTACACAACCTGTAACGTCATCTGTTCCCATGGATAGTAAATATTCTGCATCGCGCAACATGACAACTGGAGTGTCACGAGGAGGTTCTAAGGGCGTACACGGTCCCGATCCTATGATACAAGCCGCTGCAATGGCAGCAGGAGCTCGAATTGCACCAGCCTCAACAGCTGCTTCACTACTTAAGGCAGCTCAATCTGGTAATGTGGTTCATATCGGAAGTGGTGGGCTTCCTAGGTCCAAATTAGGTCTATCGAATCAAGCTGGAAATGGCAATGCAGGTGGCAGTTCAGGAATCATCCACTATATCCGCACCGGCTCAGGTTCGCACTTTTAGCTCTTTGTGCGTCATCTTTTATGCCAAAATTCACTAGTCATGTCGCAAAAAAATTGAAACTGTTGCATGTAATTTTTCTTAGGTGGTTCATCGTTGGCTACATCTAATACAAGTTTACAACGAACGACCTCGCATCACATGTCAAAAAACCATCTCAATAGAGCACCTCACCCAGTTGGAAACTCAAGCCCGTCGCCTGTTCCTACTGTACCGCCTCAAGCAGCTCGGAACAATTCTCAGGTACCCAGCCAGGCTGGCAAACCGAGCCCCACCTCCAGAGTTCCTGCAACACGGGGATCCAGCCCTCAGCAGCAGATGACAGCACCTGCACTTACTCCTGCTTCAACCCCTGCCTCAACTACTGCATCCACATCCTCATCTACGCCTGCATCAACGTCTACACCCGCTCCTCTGTCGACGTCTGCTGTAACTCCTCCACAGACGTCTTTATCAACTCCGTCAACGTCTGTACCAACTCCTGCATGTGGGTTTTGTACAACCGAACCAATAGCTGACATCCCTGGAGAAGGAACTACGTGATGGCCGATGCATCTCACTTTTGAGTAACACCTTGATTTGAAATTGGATTTCCACCCGTCTGGTGAGTCAAAAGAGGGAAGCTAATGCAGTGGTGGCCTTGAAGACTTTACTACGATGCTCAAGCGTCAACGAGTACAGAAACCTTAACGAGTGTAAGGATACCAAGTCTTTCATTTCGCACATAGAATATTAGAGGTGCTGAATCAGAGAAGTGGGTTTTTGAAAATGAGCATGGAAAGCGGTACACTGATGGGTCCTGGATGCCGAGACTTGTGATGCTATGTAATAGCTCGATTTGTTTGTTACAGCTGAAGCAACACACTACCTGCAGATAGTGAGGATGGCACTTCTGGGCACCACCCGTGTTATTATAATTCTTCTTTTTTCTTTTTTTTGGGTAAGATATGCTACTTGCGTAACAGAAAGAGGAACTTATATGTTACACCGGCAAGCCCCTGCAATAGAGAAAAACTAGATGCAACTCAAGCAAGCATCAGATTTGCTAATGTGACCAACAAACTGGAGACGGTCACTAGATGCCCCGCGGCAAAACCCCACGACCGTGGCTTTTGTTTTGCTGGTTGGATTATTGTGAAGGAAAAAGTGCTAGTGACTGGTTAGTTATAGGCCATCACTTTTTTGCCATTTACTTTTGGTTCATTAGTAATTTTTTGGGCTTATTTGAAATTCCTTTATGTGAGATTATTCTATTGCTGAACTATGAATATTTTGGTATTCGAATTTAAAATGAATTGTTGAAATGCATTGAATTTCAACAATTAAATTTCAACACCAATTGTAAATTGATAAAGTTGATATTTGGTGATTTATGGTGATTAAAATTTTAATTTTTAAATTAATACTGGAATTAAATAAACATTAATAATTTGTAGAGTGCAATTGTGTGTAAGTTATTTATTTTTTAATTGGAAAATAAAAAAAATTCTATGTGCTTAGTGCTATGAAAAGAAATTGTTACCCATGCTCAAAAGATGACAATTATAGTAATTTTTATTTTCTTGAAAAAATAACAATAGATTAAAAATCATTTTTAAAATGCACATCAAAGAAAAAAAATTAAACGAAAATAGTTAAATAAGAAAAATATTTCAAATCTAAGAGCTTCAATTTGAAATTACTCACAAAAATATCCTAAATTAATTGTAATAATTCTTGTCACATTTATAACCGTCACAAGTGCATTTAGAATTGTTTTGCTAATTAAGTAAAGTCATAACCGTAACCGCTCCATTTCTTCTCCACTTCTCTCTACGGCTTTTTTTTGTTAACTTTAGAAGTTTTTTCACTTGTATTGCTTAATGATATGTTCTTTTCATTTTTATTTTTGATCTCTTTATGCACATCATTGTCCATTCATCATTGATCAATATATTCTTGGGTGACAATGTCAACAAAATCCTACATTTCATTTTTTTAGATACAATTGTGAGATATTCACTTGTAAACTCTTTCGCAATTACAAAAAACTTGTGAGGAATTAAATGCATGAAACAATAAAAACCTACAAGTATTTACAAGTTACATAATCATCCCTTTTTTTTTTCTATGTTTTTAAAATTGTGCAATTGCAAAATAAGAATTTCTTTGAAAACTATGACAAAAGTTTTACAATAATGAGATTTTAATGCAAATTGCATTGTTTATGAGCTTCCAATAGTAAGAAAAAAACACTTGTTGTAATGTTTTACAAGAAATCCAACACATCAATTTTATAACAAGTCAAGCAAAGCCAAAACTATTCTTGCCTTCACCTCACACATGTTCACAAAATGAACAAACTTCCTTCTTATTATACTTTTGTAATTTTTTTGTCTTAGGTCCACCAACACCAAGTAGAAGATGAATAAAGAAAAATAAAACCTTCGTTAAAAAAACATTGTACCCACATATCACTTCGTTAAAAAAACAGAGTTGCAAAGTTTCAATTTCAATTATGTAGTTCTCTCAGCAAGAAGACATAAAAACAGCATAAAGAAATGACTTTACTGTAAATGCACCCTCGTTTTTCTATACAAATCTTTGTGATTCATTTGTTTTGTTTTCATTATTTTTTTTGTAAAATTTTGTTTTTAGCAGACCAGGGAAGTTATTAATCCAACAAGGACCATCGCTCATGAAGCATTGCAGCTGGATCCAAAACCATGTCACCCAGTATTATTAAAGCTTATTTCCACCTTCACTTGAAGCTCTTGCATCTGCCGGGTATGCTTTTCTCTGCTTCTTACTCAAATAAATTTTGATACTATAATTTGGTGGAGTCAAGTTCAAGGATCAACCTCATGTTTACAGCAACAGAATCATCAGTTTTATTACAGTTTAAAATACCAATATAGCTCAACTGATGATACGAACGCAAAAGCTAAACTGAAGTGGAATTGAGTTATCTGTGTTGCAAAAACCTACACACAACATGCGGTTTGAATGGGAAAATATATATTTCTTGAGCGTGGCGAGAAATGTGTGCGAGATTTTTTTACTTTATTTATTGTTTTTATTGGTTTTTTGGGTTGTGGGACGAGTGAGTGCTGAAGCAGCTGAGTTGATGGGCTTTTCTTGGTTTTGAGCTTCGGCAGGTTCTTGACAAAATCCATGGCGCCGACAGCTTCCAGCTATTCCAGCTCTGTGGGTCCACAGGCTTTGCCGATCTCATTTTCTAAGAACTCAAATTGTTGTGAGCGACTTCGATTTTGTGGCGTCCTGACAGAATAAATGTAGTGTTTCTCTTGTTGTTTTGAGCCTTAGTAATTTTTTGTATTATATCACTTATTTATTTGTTTTTCTCTTGGTGCAACTTAATGTAATGTGTTGTGTTTAAAATGCTGTTTTTCAGAAAGGGTTGAATAGATGGATTCCCGTTGTAATTCTTTCGTTGGACAGAAAAGAATTAAAATAAATGAATAATAATGGTGGAATGTATTTATTTGTGCACGTAAAGGCAGATAGGGTCTTCGTTTTTTTATTATTATTATCATTTTTTGGCAATATAAATGTGTTCATGTGTGAGTAGTTTAAATCGTAATATGATTTTTTATTTTTTTATTTGTAGTATTCAAAATCAATGCTGCAATATTGTAATGAACATAGTGGCAGAGGCCTACTAATTGATTGAATTAAGTTGAATTAAGAAGAAGACTATTTTTCAAGTAAACAAATAAATAAATATGGAAGAAGGAGAAGGAGAATGATTTATCACAAATTGGAACAAGAGTTCACATTTCGAATTATTTTTGCTGCTCAGGCAATCAAATTATAAGGATATTTCCTCCTCACAACGGAGATTGTCAAATCTGAAAGAATATTCCAAACGAATTCTTGGCACACTTAAAAAACCTGCAACCTTCGGAACTCTTCAATCAGGTTTTCACAAATACCGCCATTTGTAGAAACTCATGAACAGTTCTGCTGCAACAAGATGTTGAGGTCAATGGCATTGTAGAAAGTTGATGCTGAGTTTCACAAGTTGCAATGCAACACACCTGTTTTGTGCTAAGAAGAATAGTCAGGAATCATAACAAATATATATATATATATATATATAGATATGTAAAAGATGCACGTCTGTATCACGCATGCCAAATTTTCTTTTTCTCCTTCTCAGTTTGCTTCACATTACAAAATCAGATCAATGCACGATTACCAAGCAGAGTGTTATTTGTGACACCCTGTGCAGTTAGAGCAGACACATTCGGAATTGGTCCGGTTATGGTGTGATGGTGTTGCATCAACTTGGGCAGCACTGCAGGACGGGAATTTTCCTTCACACTTGCAACGAGATTAGCTTTGTGATTGACAAGGCCTCGAATCGATCTACACGACTTCGAATCAACGTCTCGGTTGGGATTAAAGATTTAACATACGTCAGTTCATTTAGTAGATAGGTGGCACAACTAAACTTTGGGGTACAAGGAGGTTCAGGGTCAAACAAAATGAGCCTTAAGTCGGTGCAAACCGGGGACGAGGTGTTGAGAAAAGGGCCATGGATGCCAGAAGAAGATGAGATTCTGGTGGAATATGTTCGACAATTTGGGGCTCGAGACTGGAGTTCCATTAGAACCAAGGGGTTGCTGCCCAGGACAGGAAAATCGTGTCGCTTGCGGTGGGTGAACAAGCTCAAACCTGATCTCAAAAGGTAAATCATTGAAGTGTCCACAGAGTTGAGATACTCTCAGATTGCTCTTAACAGTGATGAGCCCATATTTGCAGAGCTTTCCTTTGAGAATAGACACTCCGGAGGGCAGTCTTTGTTTTCATTTTATTTTTAATTTCATTGGTTTTAGGTCACGGCTATTAGATTCAGGACTGAGGATGAGCTCCAGAGCTGCATCATTCCTGGAATGGTTCATGCGAAGGATCTTCATGTGCAGCGTTTTGAGGTGTTGAATTGGTAACTGTTAATATGAACCATGTCCAACTCCTGCTGCGTTCTGGCAGGCTGGTCGAATTGGGCACACCTGCTTCAGAATTAGACAAAAATGTGACTTTTAAGTGTAAGCAGGGCCTTTCAAAACAAAATCTCAATGGAACGAGTGTAACGTTAAGCAGTAACGCCAGCAAGAGTCTTTGGAATACCGTTTCCAAAAAGATATCAATTCATGCAGCCGTAGGAGTTTGCTAAAACTTATTTTGGAGAGTAGATAAGCAGTAAAGAGAACCTGTTGCGTCAGTTATAAAGTGCCATAACGATCCACTCGTCCATAGTACTAAAACGGTTGGGGAATCAAATAGGAGTGGGTGCAAATTTTCACCTGAAGAGGAGAAGCTGGTGGTGGAAATGCAAGCTAAGCTGGGCAACAAGTGGGCCAAGATTGCCAGCTGCCTACCAGGTCGCACTGATAATGATGTCAAGAACTTCTGGAGCACGAGACAAAAACGGATCCTGCGAGCTCTGCAACGCCCCAAGATGCCCTCCGGGAGCACAGATGCTTCGGCCGATACATCAGACCTAAGCAAGGACCCGCAGTCAACAGACTTCGGGGGATTTCAGGTTAATCCCCACATTTCAAATTTCTCTAAGCCATTGATGGAAGTCATTAGGTTGTCAACCTAGAGAAATGTCAGATTCGCTGAGTTATGTTCTTGAACAGTGGACAGAGTGGCAGCTTGAGCTAATGATCAGTGGCAGCGTAGAAGCAATTGAGATAATATAAGAGAGGAAAGAACTGAATGAATCATTAGTGAACCATGGAATGAACGACGAGCGATGATAAACGAATATGCTCGAAGGATATAATGTCATAATGATCAATATATCACTGGTTGCAGATTCACAGCCCTTCAGGAGCCGCGTCACTAATTGCTAGCGGCATGGGCCCCCACTTCATCTTTGCAGAAGGGGACAACAAATTCAGGGATTCCGCCACAGACACCACCCGATGCCAAATGCTCCACCAAGTCCACACCTTCAATTCCATGGAAGCTGATGATGTTTTGAGCAGCCATCACAATCTCTCCGACCACATCCCTGCAGGCAAGACCTCTTCCACTCCAACTTACCTCACAGACATAAAAACCGTTAATATGCCTACAAATCCACGAACTCCAATGTCCTCCCACTCTCCTTTCATCAGAATCTTCCAAATATACGACACAATTCAAAACCCTAAAACTGGTCAAAATTATCTCAATAATGTGCACGTCTAATCATAAAAGAGTCCACAAGCTCAAAAACCGAACTATGAATTAAGGTGCATATTCAACAGGAGAGTTAGGACTCCGAACGTGCGAGAAGGAACCATGCACCGGCATGACCAAGCAGGGCGCCAACAGAAACCCGCTGACCAGCCTCGTCGAGCCGCTCGCATCTGCCCCGCCTTGCGTCACTATAGCATCCCGCATGACGAGGACCATCAAGCAGAGGCCGCGCTCGAGAAGGGAGACGCGCTCCACCACAATCCTCTCGTGCTTCGAGCACCCCGTCGTCGAAACCAGCGACTCCGGCAACGACTCTAATTCCTTCAATTCCATCGCCAGAGCTCCTCAAAGCAGCAGCCCGGCTCACTCATCCTTCAGCTCTCAGCTCTCACTCACAGACTCAACACTCCCTCAAAGCAACTCTAACACGACATCCAACAACACCAGCAGCAACAACAACAACTACCTGGAGTTTCTACTGCAATCCAATGGCTCCCTGATGCAGAATGTACAGATCTTCTCACCCGAGTTCCCGCTGTTCCTCACCACCAGCCAGCAGTGGGAGAAGCTGCCGACGCTGTACAGCGAGGACGCGAGCTTGTACAGCGGGTGCAACAGCAAGGACGCCGATTCTTGCAGCCCTGACAGCGTGATCACCAACTTCACCGCGGATGTGTTTGATTCCCTGGAGCCTTTGAATTCCGCTCAGTCCGAGTGGTGGGTTGCGCAATGAAGATGATGCTGCGTGAGGAATCAAGATTCGAGTTTGTCTGTTGGTCGTTTTAGGATTAGGATTACGGTTTTGGTACGGGGGAGAGAGAGAGCTATTCAAGGCATTCGAGGTTGCGGTTGTAAAGGTGTGAACGAGGGTGGTTTATTCAAGCATTGTGTTCACCTTTTTTGAGAAAGATCTATATTATTTTATTTTATATATTTATATATATATATATATATATATACATAAACTAATTCATGAATTCAGCATCCTGAGTTCAGTTTTGTTTTAGTGCAGTGATCCAAGTAATTCTTCTTTGAAAGTGTATAAGTGGGTATATGTGTGTTTAGGTATTATGATGTAAAGCAATGTTGTTGTAAAAAAATGATGTAAGATACAAAACCTTATAAAACTAGTTATTATTTTTTATCTTTTTTGTATAATTATTTCAATGCACTAATTGTTGAGAATTATTTAAAACATCATATAGTAATGAATGAAGGATACCAATTATTTAAGAGAATTGTTAGATGGACACTTTGTTTTATTTTATTATGTAGACAATTCTTAGTATCACACCAACAATACACTATTGCTATAAGTTTTTTTTAACAAGATGGATACTAATCAATCTAAAAGATACATAAACATCAACACAAAAAATAACAACCAATATCACATGAATATTAGCAACTAGGAGCTAATAAAAGCAAACTAAACAAATAATATAAGGGAGGTGTCCACTTAGTAGAACTACTATGTTGACACTATCTTCTATTTATTTTCTTTGTTTAGCTTATGTATTATTGATGTTCTTATGTTGTGGATTAGTGTTTAATATCTTTCAACCTTAGTAACTAACTTGTTGATAAACTAGTGGTAGTGGTATATTGTTGGTGTGGCACAAGGAGGTATCCTTGTAATAAAGGAGATGTGCCCATATAGTAAAAATGAGTATCTACTTTGTAATTCTCTTATTTAACAATCTATGTTTAAAGATATAGTAAAAGGTTATCATCCAAATATGTAAATTCTTAAACTTAACAACACATATAAAAACTAAAATACTAAATATAATATAAAAATAGTAATAGTGACAATAGTAGTAATAATATTTACTTCTATGTATGCATGTGAATTTTGAAACTTGAACAAATTGATAATAAATAAATAAATAAATTTACTTTTGTTAGTTTTGGCATCATTGAAATAACTACATGTATGATGTATGTATGTCTATATATATATAATTCTTAAAATATATTGTAAAATAATAGATTTTTTTTTTTTTTTCAGAATTTCCTAAATTTTGATCTTATAGAATATTTTTTCATCTTAAGAATCACAAAACATGGTCTCTAATGAGACCATGTATTAAAAATAGAAATTCATAGTTTTTTTTTAAATAGCATAATCAAAAAATTACACAAAATATGAACAATATATTTGCATAATTACTCTAACAACAAGAGCTCATGAACTTTGTTAGTTTATGGGCTTTTCTATGGTTGTCAAAATTGCCTACTTTCCAATTACTCATGAAAAACATAATGTTTTTTCTTTCTTTTCTGTTAACTTACACATATTTGTGATAAAATATCCATATAATGAAAAAAAATTAAAAAATCAAAAAATATAAATTTTATTGTAAATCTTATAATGTCAAATTATAATATAAAATGCATATAAATGTTATCATATTATTTGTAAATATTGGTGACAAATGAGTAAAAAAGAAAATAATTATGTATATATATATATATATATATATATATATATATATATATATATAATATTTGATTTCTAAAAATCACTAAAAGATTAATTGAGATTGCTTTTGTGTCCAAATCATTTGGTGGAGTAGAAGTTTATAAAGATCAATGAGAAATCAAATCTTTATTTATACATAAAATATAACATAATAAATTCCACAATTTTATATATATATATATATATATATATATATATAGATACACATATAATGTTTTATCAAAGTAAAATATATTTATCTACATGTAAGATAATTTATTTTTAACTTACACAACCAAGCATTAAAATTTGAGCACAATAATTTTAAAATTAGAACACGTAGTACCACATGACAACAAAGAGCATAGCCAACCAACTTTATCAAACATAATTATGAAATTAGATGTTTCCAATTTTCTTTGTCATGACAAATCTTATCACAATATTAATTAATGAAAAACAATATTTTACATAAACAACATAAGTTAGCGATAACATTAAAGCAAGGCATGAAGGAATTAAAAGATGAAGTATTAAAATGCCATTCATTTATATAGAATCTTATTTCCAATCAAAAAATCATATTAATATTCTGTCCATCCATTAAGATTCTTAATTTTTTTACACTTCAATTACTTCCTTTAACAAGTTTTTGTTATAGTATTGTCTTGTATTTTGTCTACTTGTTGAATATAAAGTATGGTAGACTTGCTAACCATTAATAGATATCATTGTGGAAATTCCAATAAAGAGTAGGGCAATGTCCCTCTAGCATATTTTTACTTGGTGGATTTTTAGAATATTTTGTAAACAATCATTAAAAGTTTTTAGCAAGTTGTAGTATTTAGCATGATAGAACTTCAATTGTGTATATGTTGTTTTAGAACTTAGTAAAAAAATAACTACTTTGTGTTAATTTTTTTTAAATACATATGATTTTGTATCTATTTCTTCAATAATTACTTCCATAACACAATAAGAGTTATCCATATTAGTATGTAGGTGTATATATATATATGTAAATATATATATATATATATATATATATATATATAGATATAATTTTAACTTATTTATAGATGGAAGAGTAATATAATATAATAGAAATAAAAGATTGATCTTGTATCAAGATTATATCAAGATTATATCAATCTTTTATTTCTATTATATTATATTACTTCTCCATCTATAATCTTGCTATAAAATTATATATAATCATGATATAAAACTATATAACATACCATAATTAGAAATCTTTCAAAAAATATCTTGTAATAATAGAAATTTCTAATAAATCTTTCTATGAAATCATTATGTACTCATTAAATCTTTTACTTTTAAAACATTTTATTTACTCAATAAAATATAACAAAATTTAATAAAATAAATGTATTGTGTCAATCATTAATATTCTTTGAAAGTCATCCTACTTCTATTTATTTTATATTCAAATTGCTACCATGTGCACTAAAAAATTGTTTGAATATTGCATTTTGCTCGTGTATTTTTATTGTTGTTAGTATATAAATGAGGATTTGAAAGACTATTGAAACTATTCAAGTACATTTGTGATATGATTTTTATTTTCATTAGATGCAAGTTACACATAATATAATACATATACATATACATATCTTAGTGAGAAACTAATTTGCTTGTATAAAATAACATATTCTATAATATCAAAAATTAATATGTATACATATCTTTTGCATATAAAGTATAAATAACTACATTGTAAGAAAAATATTTTGTACAAAAAAATACTTATTTATAAATAAAAACATACAAAAATAGAAAAAGTTTACAAAAACATCAATATGCTAGTGTTTGCTCAAAATTGATGCAATGATAAACTTTTTACAACTTCTACATAAACACTACGGTTAACTTTTTAAATTAAGTGTTCAAAAGTTTACAACATATCAACTTGTAGAATTGACTTCTATGAAAGATAAATTAATAAATATAACAACAACAACAACAACAACAACAATAATAACAACAACTATACTATAATATAGTTTTAGTTGATTCTATACCTCACCCATTGTAATTGCTTTTCATTGAATTATTTGCCATGTGCCTTAACATATCTATTAAAAGTACATGAACATTACACTCTCAAGTTGAAAAGCCAAAATAACCAATACTAAGGCAAATTTGGAGCACAAAATAAATCCTTGGACTTATATAAAGAAGAAATTAAAATGGCTCATTAATACCTATAAACCAAAATACAATTCTTTATAGAGTTTTAAGAAGCACAATATTTTCACTTTACAAATCATGTCAGCCTCCACAAAACAAAGAGCACTAATTAGTTGGTAACAAAATAGTTTTGCTATAAAGCCACAATTTTGCATGGCACTTAGTTTGCAAAGTCCTAGAGCCAAAAATTTAGATAAAACAATTATATTGGATCTTAGAGCCATGCTTGATATACTCTTACTATAGTTTCTAGTATACAATGGATACACTAGCAAGAATTGTTGTACAAACCACTCCCAATTATAATAGTTTTATACAATTTCTAGATTAGTTATATTGAATTGGGTGACATAGACATAGGAGTAGCTTGGAAATCATTATAAGTAGTTGCACAATGAACATTGCCATCAAAATTGATCAATAAATAACATTAGAATACCTGAAACCATGTCATGTCTCTAAACCAACTCGTAGACCTTGTCAAAAGTTGACCTTGCACAAATCAAAAATTGCTTTGAAGTATTTAGAATAATTTTGAATTGATTCCAAGTCCACCCATGATTGGCAAACTTTAAAAGGATGAAGTTGGTGGTTGAGTATGATAGAGGTGGTGGTTTAAACTATTTTTATTAATGGTTTTTGCCAAGTCTATGTCTTGGTTCAAGGATCAAATGCAAAAACCACTTTGTTATTTTTTTTTCAATTAAACCACAATGGCAATTCATTTTTTTTATTTTTTTATTTTTTTGAGCACATCAAAATCTTATTTCTCCACCAAATGATATCCCCTCCTCCCTTCCTCAAGATAGCTAAAAAACCTTAAGTTGACAATTTAAGGTAATTGAATGTTATATTTGAGCCAACACTTCTACTACATTCTAGAGATGTGTGAGAAATGGCAAACTTAACCATACTCAAGTTGAAGCATTTTCCAATTCGAAAGTTATAATTGTATATATAGATTACAACCCAATATCACCCATAATTATATTCCATCCATGAAAAACTAATACAAAAACCCATCCCACAAAAAAATATAACATGATATATCACAAAAATTAACATGGTGATTTTACTTATTCATGTGTTCATTTTATTTACATATAATAGAACAATAGGCCCAAGAGAAGGTGAAAAACAAAGGATTAATTTGTACTCATTTGTACAAAAGCTTATCAGGTCATGAACTCAGAGAGGCTTTTAGAGAGATATATATATTTATTATTAATTTTTTTCGTGCTTTAAAGTGATAGAAATCGGAGAGAAAGAAAGAAAACATATCTGCATGAAACCTAAACGATAAAACTGAAACAGTGAAGATATCCACGTAAAGAAATTCGTAGAAAACCTATTGAAAAGAAATTGTTATTTTTATTTTTATTTTTAATTATTCCAAAAAGATACCCAGCAAGCTCTCTGTGTGGAACACCACTTTGCAACAAAGCCAAGCTTGGCAAATGCGATAAATCGGCGACGAGGCAGAGGAATTGTGTTGCGGGAGCCTCGTGTTTGCAGATCATCGCAATTCTGAGTGATGGTCGGAGCTCGTTGCTGTGAGTCGAATTGAGTTAGCGCAGTGTCGCATTTGTGGGGCGGTTGCGGGGAAGCAGAAGCAGTGGGAGGACTGAGAAGGAAGTGTTAGGTCTGTTGTGGGAGAAGGCGTTGGGTGGTGTTTTTGGGTTTTGGATTTGAGGTTATGGTGCGTGGAGATGTATAGGACAGCGTGAAGAATTTTTATTTTTTTTGTGCCTTTCTGGAGGTGCTGCTGCTGGTGTGCTGTTGTTGTTGTTTAGCATCGTGTTGAAGTGCGATTGAGGCGGAGACGTACAGAATTTTGGAAGACTAGTGAGGAGTGAGTGTCTGTGGAGGTGGAGATTGTAGTGTTAGTACTCCATGCTTGTAGTCTAATTGTTTGCGTGTGAATTGAAGTCAGCGCGTAGGTACTTCAATGCATTTTAGCTGGTCTTGACCTAAAATTACAGCAGGCAGGAGCTGGGTTTGGGCTGCGTGGGAGTGACCGAGTGTGGTTACAGCCGGGTAAGATGCCGAAACGTAAAACTGGAGCTCGGAAGAAGGCTGAGGGTATGCGGCTGCGGCAGAAGGAGATTTCGAACAAGAAATATGTGGTCGATCTGGGGAAGCATCCGTGTAACCAGACTATGACGTGCGATTCGTGCACCAGGCAACAAAAGAACAGAGCATTTTGCTATTTCTGTGCGAGCTATCCGAAGACACCCGTCTGTGCTCAATGTGGGAAAATCAAGTGCATGGCGTCGAGTTCTGATTGTGTGGTGCGACATCCTGGTAAAAACGTCAGCGGTATGTCTACGTTTTTCTCCTTATTTGTGTATCATTTCCGATCGTTCTGATTCATTTAAGCCACCTTTCCACATGTTTCCCAAGTACGCTTGCAAATTCTCTAAGAACTTGTAAATTGAGAAACGACACAAACAAAACTTTTAGCACCGCCCAATTCTAGGCGACATTGTTGTCGAAAATTGTCGAACTTACGGTAATCTTCTCGTTGCAGGACTTGGGCTGGTGGGAGCCATCTGTGATTTCTGTGAAGCTTTCATCTGCCACTCCAGGAAATGTCTTACCACACATGCCTGCAACTGTCCACTAGTCGACGCAACATGCATTGAGTGTGAGCGTGTAGTATGGGAGCACGGAGGTCGATTGTTCCGTTGCTTTTCTTGCGACATGTGGTTGTGCGAAGATGATCAATTCGAGCATCAAGCATCTTGTCAGCAGCTTGATACTGAGACCTTCCATTGTCTTTCGTGCAACCGAACAGGACTGTATACATGTCTGCGATGTAAGATCTGCTTTTGCGATGAACATGTGAAAGGTGTTACGAATGTAGCTAAGAGAGGAGAGGTATGCACCCTAACCCTCCGCAAAAATCTTCGTGAAGTTTTGTCTTTCCACATTCGCCGAGACATGTCATTCAAGCTCATAGTTGTTTCCAAAGCCGTTTGTTATCCCTACTTAGATGTGGGAGATCCACTTCAAAGGAGAGTCCTGGCTTGAATATTCTTCTCACTAGTTCCCTGACTTGCTTTGCAGCGCGTATACTAATTTCTCATTTTATTTATTTAGTTATGTTGCATCCTCCTTCTTTGCTGCATTTGTCTAAATTAGAAAATGATTGAAACAAAGAGTTTTTACCGGATCTCACATTGGTGGTATAAATGTTGGGTGTAGGCTTTGATGTGCAAAAAGTGTGCCTATCCGCTCAAGGAGACTAAGGACATCAGTGTGTCAGTGCGCATACACAAATATGGGCGGCAGGTAACAAAATTTCTTTTAAGTTGCTTGCAATTCGAGACAAGATCGTATCACAGTAAGAAAGTATGCAAGCTGATATCAAGGAGCGAGGATAGAGCATTTCAGTTCCTTAACTTCCTGAATCTTATTTATTTGTTGAGGTCGAATGGTCCTTTTCTTGGACCTCGTATATTTTTTGATACTTCCTGTACTGTCAATCGCAAGTTTGAGCACTTAACAGTGTGTTGCTTGCAACAGGGTGCTGGTGGACATGATGACGAAGGAACCTCAGGAGATGGTGAATATGGTGGTTATGGGGGCTATGGGGGCTACGGAGGCTTTAGTGGCTATGGTGGTGTTAGTCACGGTGGTGGGCACGACCATGATGACGATGATGAAGAAGATGATGACGAGGAGGAAGGGTCCGAGGAAGAAGAGGACGAAGATGAAGAAGATGAGGAAGATGAGTATAATGGCAGTCAATCTTTGGGCATGGCAGCTCTCAATATCAAAGAGTATAAGGTTGAAGGAGGAGGCAGTTCAAACACTAAGGAACGCGAGAAAAAGTCTACCAAGTAGTTCTTGCTCATTTCTGACTCAAATCTCAACAAGGTAGAACTTGAATGTGAGACACTAAGCTAGTCCAATAATATATTCACCTCTTCATGCTATATATGCAAGTCGTTGATGAAGAAAGAGTTTAGAAGAGCATGCTATATCAATTTTTTTATGTTTCTCTTGGTGAGATTTCACCAGCTTATCCACGTGTGAAGGTGGTCTGGCTGATCTGAACTGTGTTCCATGTATTGAATATTGCGAGGACGGAAAAAAAATTCTGTTCTCTTACGTTGCAGTTTCAGGGCTTAGAATTAGTTTCATTTCTCACCTTCTCACGTATAGAGTAGCGATTTTAGATATTCTGTCACAGTTGATTCCTAGCTTCTCATGTATGATTGTTTTTAGAGCGTTTGAGACCTGAAACAATCTGTGCAACTTTTGGTAGTGTACAGTGCTCTCCATCCCCCCTATAGAAACCTTCACTCCTAGATATTCCCTCTTGGTTTCTACGTTAGCTTGAATTTTGCGGGTCCTGTTGATCTATGTTGGCAGACGAATATATATATATATATATATATATGTAATGCACGCTTCTCGTGCATAATATGGACATGTATTAAATAAATACATGTCCATATTATTATCTACCTTTAGAGCAGTATCGCATGTTTGAGACAAGACCATTGTCACGGTTCCTTAAGGAATTGAGACAAGACATTAGAGACATGGTTGAATCCTTAAAACAAGTACTCACCAGTTAAGAATGACTTTGTTATAATTTTTTTTACTAATTACCATAAACTAGTAGTTTTTAATTTTTTTTATAAATGTCTTTTATAGGCGAACATATTTATATGTTTGTAATTCTTAGCATCCTTTTGGTAATGTCAATAGTATCTATAATTTCCAATATTGTTTGTAAGTTGTTCTATATTTCTTTTGAAGATCCTTGACAATTTTATCTTTGAGTCTTGTTGTTAATTTTCTAATTAAGAGCAGTGTTGTTCCTTTGTCTTGTTTTTATATTTCTTTTATTTTTTTAATTCTCTAAATTATAGGTAAAACTATTTATTTGATTGCTTATTCTTTTACTTTAATTTTTTTTAATATTATTGTTGGTTTTTTAAATATTTATAACTTATATATACTTATTTATTTCTTTGTGAAAATTTTAAAATGACCTATCTATTTACTAAATTGATCCACCCTATTGTAACCACCATTCAAAAAAAATGGATCATTTGTAGAAACTATCATTACAATCATGGCCTTCATTCCAACTTCCCTTATTCCTAATCTTCTTCATCTTGACCTCCTTGTTCACCTCTTCTTGTTTCTAACTCTCATTCCAATCCTTTTTATTCTCCCTCTTTATTCAAAGGATGGGTCAATTTAGTAAATTGGTGGATCATTTTAACATTTATTTATATATATCATTGTAGTTGGTAATTTTTATATTGTTTGAATTTTTGTTCTTGTTTTTACACAAAAACTATAAAAACTTACTTACTATTATTTCTTTTATTGCTTCAATCCTACCAATTTGTATACAACAATTGTATGTATATTTGTTTCCAAGGTTTTATAATGTAAATCACTATACTTTTAAAAATAAAAATAAAGATGTACTTTTTGTCAAAATATTTTTTTATCAATTATGTACTTTATTAATAATTTTTTTTCTTATCAACATTGATTTTTGTAAAACTATAGTATTTATTTATTTAAAATTATTATTATTATTACTTTACATCTAAATACAAAAGACTCTTTCAACAAATACATTAACCAACATATTTAAATTTTTCAATTTAACAATAGTAATACATTCATTTACATACTTTTAACTATTCTTTTCAAACAAGAATTGTTATATGATAATTAAATATTTCTTTTGTTCTTATTTATAACAAAGTTATTAACTCAAAGAATGATATACACTAAAAATTTATTGTAACATGTTATATTGTATATAATTCAAGTTTAAATAAAAATATATATAATTTATATTAATTATAAAGAAATTTTTATAACTTATTTTAATATTATTGTTAATATTTTTTTTCTCTCTCTCAAATATTTTTGTAGATCTATTTATTTGCTCCATTGAAATCTATAGGATCTTATTCCAAATAATGTATATGACTAAAATAAATAAAAGTAGATGTGTTTGTGAGATATGGTCCTTGCAACTCTAGTAACGTATATTTAAAGAAAGATAAGTGATAAGTAGAATTATTATTCATCAACCTTAAATTGTTTCTAAGATATCTAATCTTATCTTAACATACATATTTTTCTAATAACTATATATATATATATATATATATATATATATATATGGTTGTTAGTTTTTATGTAATAACTTACATCTTTATTATCTATTTAGTAATTCTAAAATTAAAATTATAAATAAAATGAAACCAAAGTAATTTGAATAAGCCAAAGATACTAATCTATTCACTTACTTCAAATGGTGTAATAACTATTTTTGATAATATTATAATTATTACATTTGATAGTTATAAAGTTTATTTATTTATTAATTTGACAAATAAATAGGATATATCTAATACATTAATGAATTAAGAAAATTACATCAATATACTAAATAAATTTTATCCAAAAAGCAAAGCTAAGACTACTAAGAAGAAGGAATAACTATTAAAGCCAACTCATTTACACTTTTGTATAAGATCACACTATATTGAAGCATTTTAAAGTTCCATTTAATTACTTTGTCATTTCTAGAATCTAGTATGGGTTTTGCCATTCATAATTTGTACTATCTCTTGAGTAGTATGGTTTTATATTTTTGATGTTTTTTGAATTGTTTTTTAACAAATTTCCAAAAGAATTGTCCAGATTAGATCTAACCTTTTTAGATCAAGCTTTTGATATAGAAATTACTCTATGTTTTTTTTTTAAAAAAAAAAAAAAAAAAAAAAAAAAAAAGAATCTAGGTAGTCCTATGGATGAAATGTTCTCGAGAAGGACCAACTCTTAGAAAAATATTTGACTCCAAAATTTAAAGTTTTAGCAAAAATATCTTGCTTCTAAATGAAGGATTTTAAAAATCACATTTTCAAAAGTTTGATGTTATCTTATATATAAGAGAAGTCGTCCAATTTCAAATATTATGGACTTGTTGACAATTCCAAAAACTATAAATAATAAAAGTTGGCTTTTAGGATGTCAAGGACAAGAACTTGATAAAGACAAATAAACAAGTGAGACTTCTCTCAGAGAAAGATGACAAAATAAAAATAACTCAATATGTATATTAAGAAAGAAACTGGAATGACTATTGCCAAAAGACAAGAAAACTAGAGACCCTTGAAACTAGACTAGAAGCAAGAAAGGAGTTGATAAAAGTGAAGAGAGCTTGTTTCTTGTCTCTATATATACTATCTAACTAGAGGCTATGTGGAGATGTTCTATAGGACCTCCAATATGACTTGACTTTGTAGGACACATGCTTTGACTTACAAGGCAAGTTTTTCTACGTGTAGGCCACATAATTAGCTTGGTCTTTAAGCTAACAACATGTGTGGTACATAGCCAACTTATTGACCACATTTCTAATCCAAAAAGTCAATTAAAGACACCTATAAAGTCAAAGCAATATCTATATAGCTTTTAGGAAGCTTTCATAGCAAATATTATAGAATTAACTTACTTTTACCTACTTTTACTTATTTCTACCTATTTATATATGTAATTATTGGCTTACATGCGTATGTCCATAATATAGGGGTGGCATAAATCACAAAGAATATCAATTGTAGAACCAATTTTTCTTCTACAAATATTAATGTTTGCAATTTTATGTCATGTAAGCCATAAAAAAAATATATTATCTTTACAAGAACAAGAGTAGGACCAAGTATCCTTTGAATTAAACTAGAAGTTTGTATAGAATAGTAAACTTCATTTGTGTGTAATTAAACTGGTAGTGGTATTAATTTTAAATAATTTTTACCAACTTTAGTAGAATATATTATGAGTTCTTTACTTATAACTTACACATATAATATTGTCTAAAATCAATTCATTAATTGGATTCTAAAGAAGTCAAAGTTAATTTTTTTTTGTTGGCTTCGTTTTTTAAACAACTTTAACAATTTACAAAAACTTATTACATGATTCTTGTTATCTACTAATTTATAGTAGTCTTCTTTAAGTTTTTTTTTTATTAACAACGTTGAGATTTTTAGATTAAATACTAATACAAGAAATCATATGAATAAGATAAGTTAAGACAAAAATATTTGTTTTATATATTACCAATATATTAAATAGAAAATTTGAATACTACTTTTTGATACATGGTCAATTGTGACTTTATACAAACCAATCCATTTATTAGGTTTTATATAGAATTATCATAGAGTAGTAAGTATCTCTAAGTATTAAAAAATTAAATATGAAAGAAGTTCCAAATAGAGCTATAATAGAGATGAATTTTGTATATATGTATTGCTCTTTTAATAGTGAGAAGAATTATTGAATCTATAAAATAATATTAAATATAATAAAAATTATTTAAATATAAGATAGAAACTTGATGAGATTATAAATAAATATCAATTCATAAAAATTGAAGATCCTACCTTAGAAAAATAATCGAAAAGTTATAAAAAGATGAAAGAAGATTAAGTTAAGTAAACTTATACAATTATATATACACTTTTCTAATTTTATTTAAAGTTTTTGATCTAATAATCTATTTTTGATTTAAAATGAATGACAATCAAATTTCATATTTAACTCTTATAAGTATTTGATTTAGCATTCATCATTCTAAATCTAAGAAATTATTAAATATTTATAAAACTAAGTTGAGGAGTTCCTATAGCCTATTTGTAACAAAATACTTTGGTAGTTATTTTGGATTAATGATACTAAAAATACCATCTTTTAATTCTTCAAATAATGAGAAAAAAAATTATACAAGAAGTTTCAAAATATATATATATATATATATATATATATATATATATCAAATTTTACAAATAGCCTTCACATATCTTGCAAATATTTCCAAAAAGAAATATAATAATAGAATTAAAATTTTATTTACTATAATACCTCTACTTGCTACATTGATTTTAGTAGAATACTGATAATTTAGTTTTCTTGACATTCTATTGATAAAAAATTCACCAACACCAACTTCTTTTATGATGAGAATATCATATTTTAAAAATAAAACTTTACATATAATTCTTTAATTTTAAGTCTTTCAAAAAATCATTTAGTCCTTCTATATTATACAATATA